ATGGGCCATTGAGTCGGGTCAGTGTGGCTGAATGGTTGTCGAGCTCACCTTGTGGCCGGAAGGTCCTGGTCTCCAACCACAATGGCTGCACACCGTCGAAGAGTCCCAGACTAGGACGAAACATCGGTCCAATACTCCCAGGTTTTCTTACTCTTCTCTAACAGATGTCAGCTCATGATGAAATCCTGCAATCAATCAAATCACTAGAAACCAAATACTTAATGATTATGAATTTCACAAAAAGATGGTGTCAGTATCCAAACAGACACTACTACACACAGTTCACCTTACACAATCAACTTACAAACATGTTTAACACATTGATAAAATATGTTTGAACGAAATATCAATGACAATTATCCCAGTTTATAAATGAGAACAAATCATGTTGTTTACAAAAGAGAGTATTTATAAAAATCGGCTACCCCTTTGATAGTTGGATAAATAAAGCAAAGAAAATTCATAAAGTTGTAACTGACAACTAGTGGTTTAACATACCTGGTGTGGAGATCGCTTTGTTTCGCCTCATTCACTTGCGCTTCCATTTTATCGTCACCTTTTTCATCTGTCTGCACGGTGGACACCATCTCTGGACTTCTCTTTTCTTCTTCTTCTTCTGCTTCACTAGCCCGATTTTCGGCTTTAATAAATTGTTCAACCTTCGAAGTCGCTAGTAACAGATCAACGGAATGAAGAGTTGGTACATGTGGAAAAGCTGGAGTCGGAGGTGGTGTAGCGGTAGGCTTAAAACCTACATCTAGCGTGGATGCAGACAAGTGAGAATTTTCACAGTTCTCAAGGTTTTGATGTTCTGGAGAAGCTATGCCTTCTTGTATTAAAGTTGTCAGCTGATCTTTTAAGTCTGCTTTATCTATAGAAAGTTGTCTTTTCTTAAGTATATCTTCTAGTTTTTCATCTTCTGAATATGCACCTTTCAATTCTTCAATGAGATCACGTACCTCATCAAAGGATTCACATAATAACTTGAAGAATGGGAATAAGAAATGATTAAAATATGAGTCATAATATATGAATAAAATTGTATCTACAGGGAAAGAAATAACAAGGCCGTCTAAATAGTTAAACCATAATTTTAATTTTAGAGGGAATTCTGTTTGACTGGAGAGACTAAAAGGAACAAGTTACTCAATTTCCAAAATTCTTATTTTTTCCACTACAACTCACTGTTCATCTTCATCTATACAACGAGTTCAGATGTGCTGTCTTTTTAACAAGATTAGGAAGATAACACTGCTATGAGCTGACATCGGTTAGAGAACCATTGGAAAACCAGACACAGGGAGTACTGGACAGCTGTTTCGTCCGAGTTTGGCACTTCTCACAGTACGCACCCACCTGGGGTCGAAGCCAAGAACCTCTGGTTACAAGGCGAGCTCGTAGACCACTAGGTCACTGTAATCTTATCCAATGGGCCATGAATTCTAACTTCTACCAATTCAAGACATAGCCCGATAACTTAAAAATGTCTTCGATGGGTAACTGTCCTCACCTTCGACCTGCTGTACCCTACTAGTCACGGCTTCTCAGGTTTTCCAATGGTTCCCTAACCGATTTCAGCTCATGACGAAATCCTTCAACCAATCAAACAAAATCCCTACAAACCAATACTTGAAAATAACACTATTAGCTGATTTGAGTATTATGCAACTACTCATATCAATCGATCAGTAGTATATATGAATAGTGTCATGCATTTATGCCATTACCACTTATGGTATCCATCAAATCAAATATTGTGCTCTGAATAATTTGGGTCTCCAGTGAAAACTGCAGTGAAATTTCACCTCGAACCATGTAAATTGGAAGTCGTGAATTTGGTTTTTAAAAATGACAAGTACACACGTTTATGCTACACTATTGTGACGGCTAATGATACTACTACCTGATTAGCTGAAGCAAAGTATATAAAGCGCATTTTAAACCTGCTTACATCAAAAATGAAATAGGTCTACCGAGTAAATCTTAAAAGTACTGCTAAAGCTAAACGTAATAGTCGTTTAGACGAATTTTTTAAAAAATTCTGTGAAAAGTTAAACTTCAACTGTTATCAACGATGGTATTTTTTAAATGAACTTTATCAGTCTAAAGTATTCGTGAAGAAAAATACTCAAACTGAGGCATCAAAAGACCATCAACTATTTTTAACTGAAAGTCACTTATCAGAAAAAGGTGGGCTCTGAAGTTGTTGATTGTGCAATCTTTATTACGATTGATTGACTGAGTATCAACATAGAATTTTGCACAGAGGTGAAGCACTTCAAGTTGACATACTCCATGTAACACACAAAGTTACAAAAAAGAGAGAGAGGAAAGAGTTCGAAAAGAATTATAATGAGCAGAAATGTACAGGAGAAAGAATAGTAATATAGAAAAATGCGAGCCAATGCATCTACGCCACTGTGAATGATTTCGAGCCATTTCCCCGCCAACAGTCTACACCTTACTGCGTGACTGTTACAAATCAGTTGTCAAAGACTTCATGGTTTGATTCAACCGCTCTACACTCTTTTCCAGCCTGATCCTATGTCAGCTAACATTGCACGTCGAGGAAGTCAATGGCCAGTCATACAAAACACCTGTGCTAACCGTCTCGATGGATTCAACTTCATAACCTCATAGACAGACTTCCCCTCCTCACCTAACACTCGAGGCCTAATTAGAGAATTACTCACCACATTATACCACTTGACAGGGAATATATAATGCAAACATATGTAGTTAAAGACAACTAGCCTTTTCACATCTCCCACTCTCAATGAGAACGTCTCAGAACCATAGAGGAGAACATAGCAAAATACTGCGAGGGGAAAAAATGTCCTTTGATCGATAGCCGGATATCATGTCTACACAAGAGGCAACGTAAGCATGCAAATGCCACACAAGCATTTTGTATACATGGTTAACATGCCTTACCATTTCACTACCTGTCTTTAAGCTGAGAGTCGGTGCAGTTCAGTCCTGCATCACAAAAGAGGGATTAGCTTGACTAATATAGTATCTAAAGTCCTAGGCTCAATAATCATGCGTAGACTAAGTGGTGCTCGGGAGGCACAAACACGAGAGCCAGGCAGGCTTTAGACCAGGAAGAGGGTGTATTGATCATATCTTCACCCTTCGACAGATTCTAGAACATAGGCATTCTTACCGGCGTCCAACAATCATTATATTTCTTGACCTAAAGGCGGCATTCGATTCTGTCGACCGAGAGGTACTCTGGCGATGCTTGGCTGTAAAGGGAATGCCGAGAAAATTCATTGCACTGATTAAGGCACTCTACTTGAACTCATGTAACCAAGTGATTGCTTACGGCAAGTTGTCATCTGAAGTGGTAGCGACTAGTGGTGTCTGTCAGGGATGTCCATTATCCCCATTTCTATTCAATTTCATCGTAGATGTACTAATGGATTTAACCCTAACTCACTTCAGAGACTCAGGGATTGACTTGCTACCAGGGAATAATCTCGTTGACTTAGAATATGCAGACAATATAGTCCTGCTTCTAGGTGAAGACGCTGACAAAATGCAGAGTCTTCTGGACACCTTGAGCTGCAATCTTCGGATGTTTGGAATGTGATTCGCTCCTGTCAAATGTAAGATGATGCTACAGGACTGGACTACACTGACTCCTAGCTTAGAAATAGGGAGTGAAGTGGTAGAGCACGTTAACCGCTTCACTCACTTGGGAAGCACCACCAGCCAGTTCCAACGGGTTGATCTCAGACGAAATATCAGCACGGATACAGAGGGCTAGTTTCGCATATGCCAGTTTACGCCGTCTCTGGCGTAGACGTGATATCCAACTATCGACCAAAGGGCGTGTGTACTGCTAAGCAGCTCGCTTCGTCCTCCTTTATGGCTCTGAGACCTGGCCATTGAGAGTGGAAGACATTAAAAGATTAGCTGTCTTTGATCATAAGTGTCTGCGCTCTATCTCCCGCGTTAAGTGGTATAATAAGGTGAGCAATATTGAAGCTAGGCGTCGAGTGCTAGGTATGGAGGGGAAATCAATCGACGAGGCTGTGAAATTACATCGACTGAGATGGTTAAGACATGTGTTACGTAGGCCTAGCCAACGCCTTCCTCGATCGATGGGAGATGCTAGCTGACATAAGGTGAGACTGGAAAAGAGCTGGCGACGGTCAAACAAAAACATGGTTTCATCAGTCAATGAAATCCACAACAGTTAGTTTAAGCCACGTAGGGAGGTGTAGACTTCCTGGTTGGGGTCCTCGGGATGGTAAAAATCAATGGCTCAAAATCGTTCTCAATGGCGCAGATGCATGCATTCCTTGTGACTTATAATTTCCAATGAAACCATATTGCGCTTTGTTACTACTATTCCTTTGTCTCACACCTCTGTTTACTGTCTATATTATGCATTTCTTCTACTTTGTTCTCTTGCTTTGTATGCTACATGGAGTGCGGTGACTTGAACTGCCGCACATATGTGCAAAGTTCTATGTCGAAAACAGACAGACAGACCTGCATCATCACCTTACATTTGACAAGGCCAAATCAGAAGACAAACACTCGAAGATTTCCACTCAAGGTGTTCAGAAGACTTTCTTTTTGTCAGCATCTTCACCTAGGAGGATAATATCATCCGCGTACTCTAAGTCGATAAGGTTGTAGCCTGGTAACAAGTAAATCCCTAAGTGGCTGAAATCAGCTAAGGTCAATTTCATTAGTACATCCATGATGAAATTAAACCATGATAGTTAAGAAGTAACAAAAATCCCTAACGAATGAAATTCATATCAGTTGCATCAATCATAAATGCACTATTAGGAGAAAATATTTAAAGCACAAACTATAGACTCGTATACTTCAACTGGACATTCGTTAGCAACTAGTATCATGTGTCTAGTCGTTTGCTTGGTGCAGACTGAATTCTACCAGTCAAGTTTGCAATGTGGTCACCAGTGCACTCTGAATTCTAGTTATTAGATGGTTGAATGAGGAGATGTGGTGCATTAACTTAGGCACTCGACTTTCAACCAAAATGTCCCGACTTCGAGTCCTGCTTCACCTACTTCAGTCTGGGCGACGGGACAGTATTATCAGCCCTCACATAATAAGTAAGGCTTGTACACTGATGCATGAAATATCTGTGCCGGTTAACTGAGTTCAAACAAACATGGAATCATGAACAACCAAAAGATTTTTAAAATTAAAAGATTACATATTTTTTACAGTAAAACAATCCTTTTGGTAATGCTAATATCTACACATTACAAACAAATAGAACGTTAAACTAATCAACATTTCTTGATCACTTAAATTTATTTCAGTTGATCAGTGTACCATTCAACTATTGATTTACCTCCTCTGATAATTGGTATGTGATTACTAATATCGAGGTTAGGTGTAGAGTACTAGGTAAGGAAGGAAAGTTAGTTAATGAGGTTGTGAAGCAGCATCAATTGAGATTGCTAGGACGTGTTACGCATGACAAGTCACTGCCTTCCTCGTCGAGCACTATTAGCTGACAAAAGATTAAGTTTCAAAAAAGTTCGTGGAGATAAAACCAAAACGTGGCATCAAATCATGGAGTCTTTTACTATTCGTTTTAACCGCATAGGGAGGTGTGAAATGCCCGATTGGGGTCCTCGAGATGCTAAGAACCAATGGCTGGAGAATGACGGTTATATGAATAAAAATCCATCCACTCTTTTTTAATTCCTCAAATTCTCATGATTCCGCATGTAATTGTGCTTTTTCTTGTTCATTTCTACACATTATATTTGTTTTGAGTTTTTTTCTTTTTCCCTACCTTTTTTTGCTGCATGGAGTGTGGCAACTTGAATTGCTGTACTTCTGTGCGGAGTTCTACGTTGAAACTCAGTCACTATCAGACCTATTGGTAATAATCATATACTTATGTTGTATTTCTTAAACATCAACCTATAGTAACCTGGGGAAGACTACTAATTGCGAAATACTTTTAAACAGATAAACGCATAGGACTTAAGCGTTTTACAGTAGTAAGTATAGTTTAGTACTTGCAAATATGAATTTGTGAAAGAGCTACTCAGAAACGTATATAACAAAATGCTTTAGATCTAAGCAGTGAGCTTCCTCACACCACAGAATGACAAACAACAGCTTTTGATAGAGAAGTCTGAAAAGATTATGAGCACTAGTAATTTTTACTACAACCATACAATGAGCCGTTACACACTTAATATTAAAGTCTACACAACTGTTTAAAGTTTTTGCTTTGTCCTTCAACCCTTATAGATAATAAGATACGAGTATATCAAATGTAGGAATACTGGTCTCACACATGTAGACGCAGAGCTTATAACCACATATGGTCAACTTGATTAGATAGGTTATTCGGCTTGTGTACAACATAAAACACAAAGACTTGGTCTTCTTATTTTACTTAAGATTTATCAATGTGTTAGGTAAACCAGAAAAAACACAGTACTTACCATAAAACTGTTGTCATGATGGTCTTCTCTATACAAATAAATATTCACATCCGAATCCTTTAGTAACCAGTAACTTCTTCCCCAAACATCAATACCTAAGGGAGGGAATCGTAGATCGATGGGAGAACGCAAGTTCGCTTTGTCCTTGAAAGGTTGGTTGCGATCAAACTGAGTTTCCAAAAGACAAAGGAGTGTTCTGGTGCGAATAGAGGGTGAAAGTCTGTAATAACTAGAAGGAAGATGCCCAACTGGTTCTCGTGCAATAAAATTCGCTTTATCATCATTTACATATTCAGTACTTAGGAGGATATCAGCAGCTGTCTCGATACCATCAATATGAAGGCCATGGTTGAGTAGAAATCGTCCTAGTACTGGTTCCCATCGATCAGGGCGAGCTCGATACTTCAACTTATTGAGAAGCTTGACATGTAATGTCTCCCATATCTTTGTGTTCGCTTGTAAAACAGAATAAAAACCACGGAAAAATTCTACATTTAAATTATTATTGGCAAACCATAAGCAAAAAAGGTAAGAATGTGAAGGAAACTTAGAGGTGAGTTTCAGAAGTGTTCTCGATAATACTGCCTAGAAATAATGTAGAGGCTTCGTGATTAGGTTATTCAGAATCTAAGACACAACATGTAGGTCAGAAGTCAGAATTCAGTCACACGAGACACAATATCCATCTAATAGGTTAGGAAATAGGCTTATAGTATGAAAGCTTTCTAGTTATCGGGACTGGGGTTGCTGGAAGATATAAACCCTGCATCCATTGGTTGAAACTCGTGTACTTAGGCCGATAAGAAAAACCTCTAGTAATGGCCATAATGCTCTTGATAGTGATCAGGTTTCTCTTGTACAGAAAGGAAATCTGTCTATAAAAATATCCAATCATAACCTCAGGCTAAATTATCTTGCGTTATAATACTGGTCGGTTATGGAGGTTCACTGTTGAGGGTGGCGCTGTGACTCATTGGTTTAGGTGCTCGACTTCCAACAACTGGGCCACAGGTTGGGATCGCGCTATACATACCGAGGTAGTATCAGTAACCCTGACACAATAGGTATGTGGTTCATTACCAACTAAATGGAATTCCGAGTAGTTGTTGGGTTGAGTCTTACGAGCTACGGAGGAGTACCAGACTATGGCTACCGAGTGATTCTTGTTTTTGAATGAACTTCTAGCTGGAGTCAGTTAGTGATAAATTTCATTTAAAAGACAAATCTAGGAGATACTAGCACCAAGAAAAGCCCCACAATCTTGTTAGTGTTTAAGGTTATAACCTGTTAACGTACACACTACCAGATCAACATCGGTATCTGTTAGGATTGCAGTACACAACCTGAACTATTAACGTCGACAGCCAGCTTATTTCCCACAAATTCATTAAATAGGAATAGTCTAACAGTTTCTTAAAGAAACCGTGATATGCGACTATCAAGCTTTTCTTAATTGAAATAAATGAAATGAAGCACCACTTAACGACTACTTGCATTTACGTGCGCCTAGGAATGAGCCACATTATTGTACACGGGATAATGCTATCTAGTCAAGTCCTTAGATGGTGGTATGGAGGTAAAACCTTTAAGTCATTGTTTGTAAGTCCAACGAGTAAAAAATGAATCTTAAATGAAGTCTCACTAAGTTTAAATCCCTTTTACGTTACTTTACCAGAAGTGGGATATAACAAGTTTTATTATTACTTGAATTCATTTGGACATTGGTTAAATAGTGACATAATGTCTTCCTAGGTTGGTCTGTCTTCTCACTCTTGAAGGAGACAATATAGGACAACTCTCAAAAATGCACATTTCACTTGTCCTAAAGATGCATATTTTTTTATGAAATGAATACGAAATAACCACATAAACTGCTTCAAAAATAGCTACATATGACCATTTTCAATGCTTTTATATAGTCTGCACAATTGGAAAACAAACCTTTCCTTTAGCAGTTTACTGTGCTGATTGAATCACAGCCATTTGACAGAGTTTGCAACAGTGGGATCGTTAAGTGCTTTTGGAGATGCAAACTGTTAGTTTATACACTCCACTTCCAATGGATCCCGCGTTCCAAACCTGCCTAACCTACTTTAACCTGGGCAATTAGATAGTTTAATAAGCCTAAGACAATAACTGTGGTTCACAGAGTGTCACATAAAAGACTTGTATTTGTATTATATTGTATTGATTAAAACACTTTGAACCTCACGTCCAAAACGTGATAATTTTGCAGTGGATTTGTGTCATAAACATTGACATCCCCGTAAATGCGTCTAACAATAAAGTTTCTATTAGCTAGTCATGGCAAAAAGTCGGGTATTAACTATATATTACCAGGAATCCCAGCAAACTCGAATTAAGTCGATGCATAAGTTAAATAGATACACATCTAAAATCCTGTGTGATCATAAACGCCTTGAAACCTTGAGGACACTAGCTTTTTTAAATTATTTTAAAATCAATTAGTTTTCAGTTGGTTTAAGACGTAATATTTTAAATTTCAGTGTTCAGCTGCTTAAAACGGCACATCTGTGCGGACTTACACTGCGTTATCAGTAAATCAATAGAGTATGAATTGGCAGAGAAGCTGATTAGCTTGCATTTGTCACTCAGCATATGACAGAGTATTATTAGTATCAATATACTGATGCTTGGAACTCAGTCCAATACTGGGCTATTGAGCATAAGCTTTACTGTTTTGACGGCCTGATAGCTACTTCTTAATGAAAGTGACTGCATGTAACAGGAAGACCAAATTAATCTAGAATCAAACTTTGTTAACGGTATGCAGTCAAGTCAGTAGTCAATTGAAATGCGAACTCTGACGTACGCGTTGAGTTGCATTAACATTTAATATGGTCATATGGTAAAAAGCGAGTTTAGGCAGAAACGTTTCAGGGCTTTAGACTTAGTTGAATTAAGTCTAATACATGTGAGCAACAGGTGCCTGTATGAAGTACATTCAACAAATAACAAGAGCTTGACCAGTCATGATGCACCATATCATACCAGCAAACAAGCACCAGAAGTAAATCATCGTCTAGGGGCATAACACTATGGACGCCTTGGGTGAACTAAGATGCCACTTATAACTGCACTCCTTGTAACGTCATGTGAATGGCACTGGGTGCTTTGATCTTAAATGTTACTGTTATGGTAAACAATATACATCACAGGACCCAATATAGGTATTTCGTAAAGCACTAATTTTGAGTCTCGTAAAAATGTCACACTTTTATACACTGAAGCCACAATATTTCCAAGATTCCCTAACATATTTGAATTGTGTTCAAATTATGGTTATGACTTTAATAAATAAACCTTGCAAAAACTGTTGCCAAATTTATATATAAATAACGAGATTTAACATACATACCTGAGTCTTGGAGGCAGAGGAAGTCGTATAACTGAGGAAACGTTAGATGAATACCGAGATCAGAACCAAAAAATGTTAGAAACGAACAGAGGGTAGCAAAATCAGGAAGACATCTCAAGTCATCTGGCTTCCTACACTCAACAGAAGAAAATGTTAAAGGAAACTACACAAAGTACGGAGAATCTTCCTTCTTCTCTCCACAAATATCGGTATTTTCATCCATCAAAAACGACCTTGAGCAACTTCCATGTTAGGCGCTGCCATCCTTAGAGTGATAAAAACAAGTGAAGGGAAGTGAACTATTAGGAAACCCGTTTCCCACTATAATTCTGTTCACAACTTACGTGGCAGCATAGAAAATGAAATTTTGCACCTTTAAAAACCTGTAACACATTGAACATATTGGCTGTTTCTTACATATTGATCACCGCTTATTTTTATCCATTATGTTTACATAATGCAAAGACTTCCGCCGAGTACTACCCTCCCTATATTTTTTATCGTTTGTCGATATTCGAAGGTACCGATTACAAGTAGACTTATATACGGAATTCGTTACTAATTCCCAAATTGGAAATTTCTCTGCCGTAATTTTTGGTATTTTATCTCTGATTATCGCAACTACATTACATTGCTATCCCTATAAGCCCAAAGTTCAAGGTACCTGACACGCGTACCAGGCCTGTCTTTTACTGAATAAACAGAACAGTGGCCCATATAGTGTTAGTTCGTTACTGATTTATGAAACTTTCCACTGAAATTTCAGAAATGGTTCGCATATATCCGTGAGGACGTTGCGTGTCAACAGTTCGCCTGTTAAAAGGCTGGCTTCATTGAGGGACCCCAAAAGTATATACTGGATATGCCTTAGTTCGTGGTGAAATTACCTGTCAGCTAACTAGATCACTTACCGACCATACAATTTGATTCAGCTTATAATACTACAGTTCTCTTGATGCTAGGACATCACCTTATATTTCATGAATTAAAACCAAATTGCATACAGCAGTGAAGTTTTCGTGCATTGGAAAATTCATCCCTGATACGGAATCCTCAATTTGGCGCAGTACCTAGATTCAAAGTCTTTGCAGCACTGCATCATGCAGATTTCGACATCATTACGGTGACTTGTTCTCCTGTGTATTAATCTATACTCACGGATTGTATTACATCATTTTCCTTTTCCTGAGACAGGATTTCTATAATAAATGAACTCCTGTTACCTCACTGGAAAAAATTAACAAAATATTCAGTGTGAAATTTGAATATCATTCAATGAATATGATCGTTTTTGGAATATATTTATGTAACCGTTTATCCAGCCCAGTACAACTTTGAGCAGTTTATGAAGTACACTGCATTGGTATTTTGATCCAGACTGCCTATGGGAAAAGAATTCGGTTCAGTGTATGTATATGTTGATTGTCGGAGTATTTCTTCCTGACAGTTGACAGCAAATCAGAGGATAGAAATACTATTTCAGATAAAAGTCTCAGGAAATGTTCTGGTTCCACCTCATGAATTCAGTAACTTCCATTAAATCACATTTTCACAAATAACTCCATGGTTACATATCAAATCTGTCTTTTTGAATATTGTTGAAGTTACAAGACACACCCTTGATATGTACGTAGCATTCATTTCTCTAGAATTAATGGAAATAGGGGGTTTATAGCACGAAATTATGTGAGATATGATGCTAAAATGTGATAAAAACATTGGATTTTTCAGAACACTGATTTAGAAAGTTTACGAGGTTAAATTCGGGATTAGGCAGTTTGAGTAATTGCATACGCTACCATTGGGCGATTATATAGTGAAATTCTTTTGATTTTATGAATGGTCTGAGCCCCTAGTTGATGACAGACATTCAACATCGACAGGACACTGAGGAAGAACTTCATAGAGAACTTGCTTCACATCACGTCAAAGTCTGTTTTATGCCTCTTTACTATTAAAAGAAATTTTTAATGAGTATCAAAGATATGTCGTCAGGAGTGACATAAAATAACTGAGTCTATGGGACAAATGTTTAAAATTTGGAGACCGTCATAAAGTGGAAACAGTAGACAGGTGGAGATCATAGTGAATGTGCTCAGACACTGAGCGAAAGGTCCCCTTGAAATGAAGTAGAATCAAAGAGTCTTGGGAAAAGATCAGTAATGCATGCTGCAGAGAGCGGACATAGGATCGGTTTCGACAATGCCAACATTCTAGGAAAAGGCTTTCATTCCCATTAAGAAAGGCTGGTCTCTGACGCTCGCATGTTTCAACAACTTAAAATGCGACAAATAAGAGAGAAGGGATAGATTTGTCAAGCATATGATAGACTCTTATGAAGATAAACAAATGAAAAGATATTCAGTCCTATTTTACGACCTCTGTGAAATAGTAATTTTTCCAGAAGCGAACTGACGTATTTTTCTTATAAAAACACATATTCCCGTGTAAACAAGTATACATATATGGCAATATGACACTACGAATATATGATGACCAGTCAAAGCTGTCTGCCAACAAAAAACCTTCAAAGGGGTTCACCTCAGTTTACGTAATATGTGACTATATACTTTTTATGGTTGATGAAATCCGAGCAATCCTGACGAAAAGCTGTGGTTTACGTGACGAAATGTTGGGAAAAATTTGGTTTATAATTTTTTAACTCTCTGAGGCTATTTTAAATACCTGGTATATACTTTTTTGACATACAGAGTGGTTAAGATTAGCTGAAACATTATTTTAATCCAGTTGATAATACATGTCACGAGAACATGCAAATAAATGTAAAATGTTGAACTATAATTTCACTTCTGTGTATTTGACTAGGCTTCCTCTCTTCAACTCCCCACCAGGGTATCCACGGAGTACACGCCCAATGTTCACTGCTGGTTTCTTACTTCATAAGTGCTACTGGTCGGTGTTTTCGAAATTATTTTGACACGACGATCGGTCAATAAATTCCCATTCCAGCAAGTTTTTCTATGTCCACACAATGGACATTTATTCTGAATATTCTAGGGTACGGCTATTAGTTAACTTTGAACCGTTGCAATGCATTTTTATTAGGTTGAGGTCACTGGCTTCATCTAAATGGTAACTAATTGTTACACAGTCTCATAGCCCCGTTTTGTATTTTAAGTCGTTTACGCTTCTGTCTGAACAGTTTGATTGTTTCGGCCTAAATGATGCCTAAACATAGACCCTAGTTTGTGAACCTTTCTGCAGCTAACTTTGCTCTGCGATTCGTGATCATTTATAGTCTTGTATGCAGAAGGACTAGCCACCTTGTCGACACCAGCTCCTGAGCCCGGAACTCTGGTTAACGCCAAAGTAAATATTACTTCATTGAGCTTTCACAGCTGTTTAGATTGCCTAGTAGTTCATGAATTCGTGGTTGCTGAAATAAGAGGAGAAGTGAACTTCGTGAAGCTATGAGTGGCGTCGTAATGAAACGTGTAACCTATATTATCTTTCCGAACTAGACCATGTTCGCACATGTTCAGTGGCTTTTGAAGAGAGCCTGTGAGTTTCCTTAATTAATGGAAACTTCTCTGGAGAGCATTCCCTTCAGGCCCTGTACATAATGCTGGACTTAAAATGCATCATGTCCAATAGTATTACTTCAATTTTCACGCTGAAAAATTCCTTCTCCAGACAGCTGTAACCATGTCGTATGCATTGATGTGGTGGATCGAACATAATGAATACAACACAATATGTGCTTGTATAAGGACACCAAAATCTTATTGTCAAGCCAAATTAAGATAGCAAGTTTTCGGGGTGATGAAATAAACAAAAACAAAATCTCTTTGAAGTTTTTACGAAGTATTTCAGCAACATAATCTGAAGAACTTATAGTTTGTTGTACATGTTGCACTTTGAAAAGGGAGTGAATTTTACACGCTCTTGTTTAGTTTCGGCTTTTGTTGTGTTATACGTTTCAAAAGTCTACAGATTAACTTTAAATCAGTTTATTCTGATCGAAGTTAGTTTACTTTTCAGATTTGAGTCTATTAAATTATAGGAAGTGTATAGGGTGGACCGACTAAACCGCGAAGGAGGTGACGTAGTCATCTACCTCAAGAAATGCTTAACCGTGCGTAGTATCTAAGCACTCGCTCACGAAAGTGAGTCGTGCGAACTTCTACGCTGCAGACTTAAATGCATAGCTGTACAATCGCATTTATATATAAATATTTGTGTGTGTGTACATAAGGTTTGTCAAGTTTAGATAATTGATTAGTTAACACAAGAATGATGTAGTATCGAGACAAAGTTAATCAGACAGCAGCTAAAGTAAGACTGAGTTAAAAAACTAGATGACGTAATATAATTGGCTAAAATGTTACAACTTAGGTCAGGATAGCAACAGAGGTAATTACAGGTAGAGATTAAGTAGAAGTGAAATTGAGTGAATAAGTTGGATGACGTAACATGAATGACTAGAAACTGAGCGTTGTTCAAGTCAATGTTAGTCATGTGAAAACAAGGTCAAGATGGATAGGCGGATACAGTTAACATATAGATGAACTGACACAGCCACAAGAGATGCAAGGTTAACTTTGTGTGAGAAACAACCAATCAACAGACTGTATTTTCTGCTAACATTAACCTACAATAATGTACATCAAAATCTATAAATATGTGTTGATTTTCCGTAATAAACGTTGTGTTGCCTGGCCCTTGTCTTCTGTTGTTACACTCGGACCTCTCCTATTTATTTTGTATATCAATGAGTTATCTCTGCTCACCGACTCCCCTATGGTCCTATACGCAGATGACTTAAAAATTTGGAGAGAGCTGAAGGGCAACAGTGACACACTCACATTGCAAGAGGACCTCAACAAATTGTCAGAGTGGTTCATAGAATGGATGCACCCGATAAATGTGGCAAAATGTGCAACCATGCGCATTGGAAAAGCAAGCACGAGCTCCTACGAACTAGAGGGAATAACACCTCCATCAGTTCAGACTCACTTGGACTTAGGTGTCATAGTTAGTCACGACTTAGAACTACAGCACACTGTCGCGCGGTGGCTGCACGTAGTTTCAGGTCATTATGGGCAATTCGCGGAGCCTTTACTAGAATCACCAGAGATATGTTCACCTCCTTATATACATCTCTGGTGAGGTTAAGACTGGAAAACTGCATCCAAGCAGCCAGCCCTTATCTAAAAGGGGACTCACGCATTCTGTAAAGGGTTCAAAGGAAGGTAACACGTATGGTTCTCGGAATGACTAATTTATCATACGAGGAAAGACTAGACAGTTTAAATCTCTTCTCCCTGTCATGCCGTAGGCAGAGGGGTTTAATTGCCATGTTTAAAATTTTAAATAATGACTACGGACCTGACCTGTTCTCTCTCTTCCTTCCCACCAGATCGGAACACCTTAGAGGACATAGCAGGAGAGTTCAAAAGCCAAGAAATCATATTGCTGTTGAGTACTGGTTCTCACATCGAGTCATAAACTCTTGGAACCGACTCCCAGAAGAAGTGGTGTCTGCAACCTCAACTGATTCGTTCAAGAAGAGTTTGGACAACCACAGAAATTTACTAGAAGAGGATTAACATAGGCTCCAAGCCTTCTATCCCCAACCAATAAATATGAATCTGAAATATCTAGGGTCAAATATCTTTAGCTGTCTGCAAGATAACAGTAGCATAATAAGACAATTTTACCCTAAATGATTTGTTACTGCTCCCAGTGATTTATAACTGTGCTACACATATATACTTTGTTGTTTATTTGAATTGTAAAGCATACCAGTTGCTATAATACTTTTTGAAATTCTGTCAACATGACTGACGTTGACATCAAAATAATCAAAAGAACGCAAGAGACTTTAGGGAAAATAATTAAGAAACCTGTTCTCACGGAGAAACTTTTAGGCAGGCCCCCATTTCGTTTCTTGCATGATATATGCACAGCAGTACATGAGTTTTTCTAACATATTAGCGTTTTTCTAAAGGTTATCAGAACTACGGGTTTAATGAAAGGCCTTTATAACCAGGAAGAACTGAACGCTGATAATGTTAAGGATAAAGATAAGAAACTAGCGTTTCTTCAGAAGCTGGTAGATTTTTTGGCCGTTGTGCATGGTCGCCCTATTCCTATTAGAATTATGAGCATTGTTGCTGGGAAGGAGGCCGAAAAAACCAACGAAATGTTATGTCTGCTTGCCGAAGCTGTTCACAAGGGGGTTTGAAATGTTTTTACCATTAAGCAAATTCTCCAGGTTAACAACGAAGATTGTGTGGCCCGAGTACTTCAGGGTAATGTGAACCAAAAGGTTGACAAAAAGCAAGAATCTGAAGCTAAACAACAGAAAGAAAAACCCAACACTGTGCAAAGTCCTATGGATAGTCAGAAGAGGGAAGTTAGAAAGAGCAGAAGAGACGATAATCGAGACGAGGTTAAAAACAATAAATCTGGAGGCGGGTCTTTAGCTGATAGTGATAAGAACTTTGGAACCAGCAAAAAGGTAAGAAAAATATTGGCTTTAAATGCCGTCAACTTCTATGACTATGTTTATCACTAGAACTTTTCCACCGGTTGTTAATTGGAGACTACCTATCCTATACGTCTAAGGTTACTTATCTATGTTTTGTCATAGGCAATGTTTACATCTTATTTCCGTACGCTTGTCGTATTTTATGTTTTTTCCTTCTAGTGCACCGAAAAATGTGTGCTTAAACCAGATAAAAACACCTAAATTCTTCTTATTTACTTGAACAAATTTGTAATATCTTGAATTTAATTTATTTAATAATTTCGCAGTTCGAAGTGAAATTTCACTGCAGATGCATTCAACAGTAACAAATATATAGATGTGACGGTGGATTTTATCTTATCTAGAAAAATAGCCATCTACTGTTCACTTCAACTCGATCTGACAAATGAGCACTAATGCTTGATTTAAGTAGACTCCAAATACCTACATCAATCAACATATGACATCCTGCAGTTTGGTTTAGTTTGGTAACTGTCATTTGTGTTGTAATAAAAAAATTATGGGTTTCGAAAGGTTACTGTGGTTTAGTTTCACTTGAAACTGTATGACTCAGAAATAGGGAATATGATTAAAAATTCAAGTGACTTACTCAGTCTCTGCTGTAATCGTTTCAACCACTTAAGACATATATATCTTAAGCTTTTTGTAGTAAATAGTAGTTTTCCTGAAGTCTTGTAATTGAAGTCAGTATATATCTGATTAATAACCTTTTATTTTGCTTTGAATGGATAGGATGACTTCGAATATTATGACTTACTGATCAGTATTATTCCTGTTTTATCAGTTTATTACTTAAATTACTTTATGCACACCTTAGTGTTCTTATCAAACCCAGTGGATTATCCTGTTATTTTTTAAACCTAGCTGTTAATAGTTTTTCGTGGAACAAATATTCTTATTGCTGTTCATAAATGACAACAGACCATATTTATTTATCACAAGACGAACACAAAATTTAAGTAATATCTTTTCTAATGTTTATGTGATTTTTTTTAAGTCTTTCGCCTATTCAGAGATTATAGACTCCATGTTTTAATTTCTTATTTAGCGGAAATTAGACGGATAAATAACATGTAAGCGCTAGGTCCTTCTTTACAGCAGTCTCTAGGATAATCTGATGTTAAAAAAGCTTAGTGAAGTTCCTAAGGAAGTTACAAACATTTCTTTGCATTGTCCCTGTGACATTTGAATTTTTAATATGACTCGTGCCATGGAATTCTCTCTAAAACTAAACTCATATTTATTGTGTAGGATCTATTTAATAGCTATTTCATCACAATAATCATTTCTACACACCATATTAATCATTAGAATCATTATTATAATATAAGCATAACCTTGGATTTCAGCAGCATATCTTAATTTCCTCCTGTTCTAAGCAGTCCTCATTGTATGGCTTCATGGCTGTTCGTAAGCCCTCACCTCCTCCTCACACGACCACCTCCGTGGGAATCGTGGTTGGCTAATGTTGTTTTTCCTACAAGGCATTTGCTTAGAAACTACAGTAATGGATATGATAAAACAGTTACAAAAGAGTAAATGGAGGTCAGATCAAATTGCTACATTAGTCCATTAGATCATTGACTATTGGTTTGAATTAGTCACATGTGTAGATGCAGACTGACTGGATGGGGTTATTAGACGCTAACAATCAATTGTTGGAAACTATTGGTGACATGGCTCAAAACTGTCCTCAGTGAAGCAGATGCATTCACTCTTTATGAAGTCGTAAATTTATTAAATTATCCTCAGTTTACATATTGGTTTTCCTGTACACTTCCGTTTATTATAGTTTCTTTTCATTCCCTAGCGAATAATGTCAGTGATGAACAGCGCACGATATTTTTACATTAAAAGTGTTTAAACCATAGTTCACACTATTAATTTTTGAAGCGTAGACTGAGTACTGCTAAATTTAATTAAGCATTCACTTTTTGTGGACTATTTTCCACACATGATGTTAAACATATTTTTGACGAATCAATAATCCTAGACATGAAAGAAAATTTGAAGGGGGAAATCATTCTTCCAATTGGTTATGACATTTTTATGCTGACTTTTCAAATATGTCAAATGTTTTGTAAATTTTTCAGACTACCGCAGAAACAGTCAGTGTAGAAAAAGGAGATAACGGAAGAGAAACTCGTATGTCTCAAGACGCTAACAGTCGTGTAGCTAGTCGGTGTGATTCAAGAACACTAGATAAATCTCAAGAAGAATCTTCAACAGCTATTCCTTCTAATGCAGAAATTTCATCTCAGCAATCTTTAAAACACCGACCAGTGTCTGCTAAAGGACAAAGAGTTATCAAAGATGGTAAGTCAACGATTTACAGTGATCAGTTAGCATTTGAAAAACTGTAGATCATTTTGACAGAGTACTAGTTTATTTAGTTGGGCAATAGTGCTAAATTCATTTTTATTTTGAACAATGTTTCTATTGTTAGGGGCTCAGTCACCCAGAATAGGCTTCTCAATGGTAAAACCGGATCAAGGCACTACTGTATTATCTATATATTTATGAAACAAATGAAAAGTGCAGATTACTTCTTTCAGTGGACTATTCTATAGGTTCATCGTGTGAACACCTAGAAGATGTCCTAATGGAAATGGCATGACAAGTTCATCTCTTTGTAGTAATAAATTATGTAAGAATAGAACTTTGGCACTGTGGTAGACAATAACTCCATTATGGATAAGAAAATTTTATTTTGATAAGTCACACAGTGTTGTACAGTAATTATTAACTGATGAAGTTTCGAGCACAAATTATCACTCATTATCATATCAAGGTACTCACACAACTTTCTTGCTTCATGAGTAAAAATTGATGAGACATTTGAATAGAATCAATATAACATAAATTAAATTCCGAAATAATATTAGTGTTATCAATAAAATACAATAAGATGGGAAATGAGATGTTTTTATAGTAATATAATAATATGAATTTTATTCAAATGTCTAATCAATTTTTACTCATGTATATAATTGCACATTTAATTGCATAATGTGTCAATCTTCTCAGTAATTATGATGCTACTTTGTTTGAGTTTTATCCGTCCCCTTACTTATTATGGCATTTTAATTCCTAATTGTAGTTTTATTAATTTGACCCTTAACCGGAAATTATTCTGGAACTTCCTCACCCATTTATCATAAATACACGAATGCACAACCTAGTTGATGACTTCGTCGAAAAAAATTTTCTTCGCTGCAACCGTCTCTTTAATAATTCCTATCATGTATATAAATGAAGCGAGAAAGTTGTGTGAGTACCTTGATATGATTATGAGTAATAATTTGTGCTCGAAACGTCATCAGTAAATATTACTGTATAACACTGTGATTTTATCAAAATGAAATCTTTTTATCCATAATGGAGTTATAAATTATGTCTTTGAATCTAAATCGTATGTCTTAATATTAAATCCTGTCTCCTCCTTCATTATGATTTTCATCACTATTTTGATTTCAACTTTTTAGAAGTACTTGATTGTATTTAAAACTTATAGAATCGATTCTCCCATTGAAAAACCTTTTTCTGCATTTCACTCACTTTACCCCTGCTAGTCTAATAACCAGATGTATTGACTGAGCAACATACGCGTCGGTGGCACAGCGGTTAGGACGCTCGCCGACCATGTACATGGCCTGGGGTTCGATCCCCGGCCGAAATGCTCGTTTACCTCGCTAAGCCAGTAATAAAAGCTGGTAAAGAGGAAAGGTTGGGCATGAGGCTAGCAACCCCATCCTGTAAAAAGCAACGCTGTTACAGAAACTTCAAGCCTCTACCTTGAATCCCTATGTTTCACTGGGAAGGTGAAGGAATAAAAAAAATTAGTAGTGCTTCAAGTTAGATCATGAAATGACTTTATTTAGAGAACCGCTGAAAGCCAGGGAGTATTGGTGTCTGTTCCATCTCAGTTTGGGTGTCATGACAAATACTCGTTGATGATATTGACCAGCAGTTGTACTATTTATTGAAAATTGTAAGAGGTTACAATTAATTAGGCATATGATTTCGTCCCAGTGATTGAATAATCAACGAACCCGCTTCGCAATCCAAAGGTCTTGAGTTCGATTCCCAGTATGACCATGGATACATACAGCTGGAGAGTTGCTAACAAGAAAGAAAAAAGATGCTCAGTAAATTTTAGTTTTCAAAGGTTTTTTAAATGAAGCTAGTTCTTGGTCTAATTTGGAACAAACACCTGAAAATTTATAGAGCCAGTAAATCCCTTTTTACATAGTGTAAATACGACAATACAGCTCGAAAATGAAGTTATTAGAAAGACATATTTCTTTATTGCATAAATGTTAGTATTAAAACTTTGAAATTTATTACCATACAACCAAGCATTATGAAATCTTAGCATCTGAGAGAACAACTTAATTACACGACGTAACTCTACAACTCTCGCCGACCATCCATGTGGTCCGGCGTTCGATCCCCTGACGACGCACACCTGATATCAATTGGTCGGCCTGCAAAATTTGGGCTACCTATATCACATGCTGAAAATTCCATACTTGTATCAAAATTACGGTGTGGAATCAAACTGTAATAAAAAAAAATAAATATCATTTCTGAATAAGTAAGGAGAACACAGATATGTATAGCAAACTGTATAGAATAAACAATATGATATTTCTTTACAGTCTGTATTTTGTAAACATTGTTATTTTGAATTCGCTGTTCAGATTTGACTACCCAAAGACCCTGATTTCATCGTTGATTCAGACACAATACTAAGTGGACGACTTTTGCGAGGATGAAAATTTATTCCGTGATATAATACGCCTGGGTAATTCCAGAAACGACAATATATATTTACATACAACTGTTTTTTCTCATTACTACAGCTCCACCAGACACGAAAATCTCAGTGAATCAAGGAGAAAATAAACCGGATCCAGTTTCAAAGTAAGACATTTTATCCAATCTATTTCATTAAACGTGATTATTATACATATGGGTGTAAATATTATTTCTAATTAATTGAATATATGTATACTTTCTAATGAGTGATATTTTTTTACGAAATAAAATTGTGTGAAAGCATCTGGGTAGAACTTAGTTACCCGGTATTGGGCCACGAACTGCGCTTGTTGTGTGAGTACTGGTGCTGCTACTACTCAGTTATTGAGGCGGAAGCAGATGGAGCGAGATTCATACTCGAGACCTGTTGGGTGGACACTGCTTGCTTAACCCACTGAGCCACATTTTCACATGACAGCACGTACTTTCAGGAAGTCCTAAGTATTCTTTAGGAAAATAAATTTCACTGAGTGTTGAATAGTCTGTGTACTCTAAGCATACTTGTTTGTTGTGCAAACACTTCGATAGTATAGCAATTACATCTCGGCTGTACACATTTAGTGCTGGGAAGCTTCTGAATTTCTACGGTATTTCTCATCTTTTGTGCAATTGATCATTTTAGTGTACCATCCTTTCAGTGAGTAACAAAGTTATCACTGAGTTATTTGACCATGTTATTTCTCATAGGTGCTTTTAAACTCCTGTACTCAGTACTAGTGTAACGGTAGAAGACAAGAGACTTGGTAAAGGAATGTTTATTCGAAATTCGGTATCTCTATATAGCGAAATTATGTACACCTTGTCTGCAAATCGTCATTTGCACAGATCTTCTGTGTTGCGCTTCTTCTGCTCGTCATATTGTGTTTCTTTGGTTTCTTTTCGTGTCTCCCATGTTTTGTCGCAACGCTGAATCATTTGCTCTCTTCGACTTCAAATCTATCTCCCCGCTATTTGATATTTTTATGCCGATGAATGTCCCTTTATATACAACTGATAAATATTATCAGTAGCACACACTACATCAGTATAATCCAGAATTTGTATTTAGATTATTGGAATTGTGGGAATTTCGGATTAATTTCACCAACATCAGTTACAGAGATAACTGAAAAGTAGGTGGCACTGGACAACTGTTTCGTGCCTTTTTGAACTCTTCATCCGTGTGCACCCACGACTTTGTCAGGGGTTGAACCCGAGACCTTAATTTTGCAAGAACAAGCTCGCTTATTATTCATCTACCTATGCTGCAATCCAATTACCCGTGAATTCTAATTTCGTCAACTCGTGATTTACAGCCGCCCTCAACAATGCCTTCAATGAGTATTCAAAGAAGAAGAGATACTAATTTTGTCTTTCATTAATCTTTTGACAGGAAAGATGTTATTTACCCCTAGTATTATCGCTATGTGCCTTTAATTCCATGTTATTATCATGTATATTAAGCATTTCAGTTCATTTCACCTCTTTCAAATAATGCTTGCTAAGTGATATTGGCCTGACATTCAGTCTGCTGACCGATTCTATCTTTTTAAGTCTTTCTTTCTTTCTTTCTCTCTCTCTCTCTATATATATATATATATTATCGCCGTTTGAACTTATGTTCCAAGACAGGAAAAGCTCTCTACTCAACGACCTGTCTTCCTCCTTTCTTGTGTCGCGTCTCAGTAGTATCGTGTTATGGTTGTTGCCTTTGTGAATAGTGATTAGAACAGTAGGCTTGCAAATCTACTAGTTGGACTCGCAAACCATTAGGCTATATTTTTGGTCATATAAGCAGCTTGAGGAATAGATGCTTATTATTTTAAAAAGACAGAAACTATACATTCAAATCTGACTTCGACTTCCTTTGTGAACCAAATAGCCTAGTGAATACTGCCTTCGAGTTTAAAGCAATAGGTGCTGTGACTGAGTCTCAATGGGAGCGCACCATCTTCTCCGGGATATGAAATTACACTCAAGAGTTCCAAGTACGACGAATTGTGCATCCTCGGTTCCATTGCTAACTGGCATTAGCCATATAAGAACAGATTAGTCTTTACAAGTCGTAGAACTCTCCGTAGTAGGAGTGGATATATCAACAGAGATTGAACATTTAGTACCTATATAATCAATCGATCAACGAAAACTCAAAATAATGTAAACAAATTTCAATTTTTTTCGAGTTTTCAGTATTCCCTATGCATAGCAAATGATTTAATTATATTTTAAAATGTTTTAAAAGTAACATTTGAGTATTCTATTAATATTTTCTGTTTTTTTTTTCAAGTCCTAGACTAGCTCCACCTCGTCCTAAACGTTCAACAGATTTGGGAGTTGGAGACAGTCCAAAGTAAGCGCATAATCTGATGAATATAGATAAAAAAGTAGCATATTTGTTTTGAAATTGTGAAAAATATAATTCTGTTTTACGTCTTATTTATAATACTTTGAATATCGCTAGCTGAGGTGATTAGGATACATTTTTTCTCCAAAAGAACTGAAAAGGATTTCAGTACATTATTATTAAACAGCCATATAGTGCATTATTGTACAGTATTTATTTTCACATCACACTTGTTTATTGATTTTATATTGATACTATTCATTGCTTGAGTTATGAGTGGGAAATAGGGCTTCAGTGGAACATCTCCATTCCACTCAATTCACTGCTATCACTTTGAAATGGCTTCATAACTTACATGAACTTTCATTTCTTTTTATGGTAATCCTCTTCATTTCACTCTCAGACTCTGGCCCAACATGTGACTTCCCATGTCACCCCTAATTGATAATTAACCCGGCGTATGATGTCACGTGATGCCTCCACAGCATATGTTCAATCAATGGAGAGTGTCAAGTCCAGACAGTGTGTCTCTTTTTATCGATTAGAAATTAAATACCTTGTGTTACTTGTAGAATTCCAAAATACACTGGATTTCCTTAACGTATGTTAATACATTAAGAAAATAATAATAGTCATTAATTGTTGAAAAGCATTTATGAAGGTGTTTTCTGGTAAGAGTGTTAACAAAAACAAAACAAAAGTCGTTACCAGTGGTCTACAGTAGGTAAGGTGTGAAGACAAATTCTTGCGGATGACATCTGCTAGTGGTTGCACCACTTCATAAATTGGCAGAAGTTGGAATTCATGGACTACTGGATCGAGTCCCAGTGGCTTAATGGTCTATGAGCTCGCCTTGTTACCAAAAGGTCTTGGATTGGAACCTCAGTGGGTACATGCTGATGAAGAGTCCCACGTTAGGACGAAACAGCTGTCCAGTACGGTCCTGTAACCGATATCATTTCATGGTGAAATCCTAAAAACTGCAAAAGTTGGATACAGAATAACTTGAGTTGATAACAGAAAATAAAAAAATATAATTAACAGGGGTCACAGTACAGTCATACAATAAGCAAGAATATTTTCATAACATAATACTCAAACAATCAATACAACACTGCTGATTGAAATTGACAATTGAATGTGAAGATCTAATAATACTTTAGAAGCTATATAAACTAAACTACTTATCAATAACAAGTAGGATGTGGTTAAAACCACATAGGATGATGTAGATAAGTGGTCACTGAGCTGGCCTCGTAACCTGAAGGTCCTGGATTCCATACATGGTAGGGTCGTGAGTGAGCATTACTGAGGTGTCCAAAGTAAGTCTAAGCTGTTGTCCAGTACTTCTTGGTTCTTGGTGATTCTCTAACTGATGTTGTTTAGTGACGAAATCTACATTGAAATTAAATCTGAATATGTATGAAACCCAAAGTTTAAAAGAATATTTGTCTCCATGTATATATATGTATATATCCTCTAATTAATCAATACATAGGCAAACTGGTATGATGGCTGGATTGATTATCTCTGAATCACAACAAGATACAGATGAAGATGAGAATGAAGATTCGAAATTTGTTATTGAAGAAATTGTCGGTGGAATATCTGGTGAAATTTCAACAAATCAATGGAGCAATAAAATTGAATCAGAAGAAAATCAAGAACATGGTATATAATACAAACAAAATTTATTATTTTCATTTGTCTTTCTCATTTTAATTTTATTGCTATTACAGAGGGTCAGTCTGATTTTTATTACAAATTTCAAGGATAATTTAAAATATGACTAGCCAGTTGTAATTTTATAGAAAGGTCTTTTAAGTCATTAGATGAATGTGTGAGTGAGTGAGGGAGCCAGTCAGTCAGTGACCTAGGCAAATCAAATAAAACTTGATTCAGAGTGAAGTGATTTGATGAATTAGTCTTTCTTTGGAATGGATCAACATGTTCTAGCATTGAATCTTTTCGTACAGATGTCTAAATATGACACGTAATCACATCTCGGTTATGCATCTGGCAGATGATTATATAACGGAATACTGCAGTGTCACTGCAACTGGTTCGTATTATCAGTTGAAACTAAACAGTTCACTTCAAGAGATCGTATACAAAAAAACTGAAAATTGAAAATGAAATGAAAATATGGTTACCAAATGCTTACCGTCAAAATGTTGAGGATTTTAATCAAGAGGTCTATACTTTTTTGCACAGTTTCCCATCTATGATCACTGGTATTTAAAATATTTATCCAGATTTCTATGCAGTTTCCACTGGTAATCTTCTCGTTATCTGGCCATTACAACAATGTGAATCAATCCAATTTACCAGCTCATTAGCAATTGAAATAAAAAAGTTATTGATATTAAAACGGTAAGCAATCGACTTCCTAAACCTCGGTAAAGAGGGAAAGTTAGGAGCGAAGGTGTCAACCTCGCCCAGTAAGAAACACCTCTGTCACTGCAAATTTGAAGCTCAAGTTTGAAGTCCTATGTTTCACTTGGAATTCAAGGAAGTAAAATAAATGAAGTAATAAGTTATTGGCTGGAGATTCACTTTCCAAAATAACAAAGCAAAAGAACTGATTCTTTATCAAATGCAGTTGTATTAAATAACTGAAACTTTGATCGAAGTCGATTACGTCTAAACTAACTGTTTCACTTTTCACTTGAGTAGTTGATGGGTAAAGTTTCTCACTACAGTAATGAGTGACAAAGATGTATTGAATTCTGAAAATATTTAAACTTCTCCTTCAAACTGATTTACTGACTGATCAACATCCAGTCAGTGAGAAGAAAACTATAAACATTTACTTTCGATGAACAGAGTACCAACCTGAATAGCAGAGTCTGATAAATTAACATAATGATTAGGTCATACATCAGAATGACAAATGCTTAATTTGTTCGGTATTCATTGATCAGCGTACTTCTTTCATTTCTTACCTCCTGAGTAGAACAGAGGACTTCAAGTCTTGAAATTTCAATAACATTGGTGTTGGTTCTACAGGTTCCAATTGCTAGCCTTGAGTCTAACCTTCCTTCTTCTCTGACTTTGCTATCAGCTGTGAATGCATCAGCCAGGAATCGTATCTACCACTGAATCACTGATAGATAAGTGTGTGTTGAACGCGGAATACTAAAAAACGCCTATATAGTGGACAAGAACACATAGGAGATTACTTTTATTATATGTTATTATTCCCTTGCGTTCCGAGTAGAACATAGGGCTTCAACAACACATCTCCACTTTATTCTATTTTATGTTGTCCTCTTCAACTGAGTCCACGATTGCCCATAATCTCTCATACCCTCCCAGCCACACGATCTCCTCCGTGTCACCCTCGCACTGACGACCGACTCGTCATTTTTAATCGGGATTTCACTCGAGCTATGGTCTGCATTGCGCGTGATGTCATCCGATGACCTCCTCAGCGTTTTCCCGATCCACCTCCGCTTTCTCCCACATATTTGTTGCTGGGTCGACTCTCACTTGTTGGTTTGTTCTCAGCCAGAGTTTCTTGTTGCTAATTCTTTCCACCGGTCATTTGATCTTCAGTGTGGCACCAGCGAATGGGGCAGCCGTTGATAAAAGTCTGCGGTAACCTGTTGGAAACCCTTTTTGTGACACGCCAGCCAAGTTTCTGACCCGTATAGAAGAACTGAGTGACTTCACATTTGTGTTGAAAATCCAAATCTTGTTCTTTATGCTGGCTGAGTGCAGAAGACTTCCAAACTGGTTTCAGGTTAATGAAAGTGTACCTTGCTTTTCGGATTCTATCTGGCTTTCACATCTTCATCCGTATCGTCCGCCTGTGGTTGAAACCGTGCTTCCTAGATAAGTGAAGGAAGTAACCTCTGTTAAACCTCTCCCTTTGATGGTGATTGGTACTGGTTGCTGTTATTGCTGCTGCTGTTGGTTGCTTATCTTCATCACCTCCATCTTCTCTACGTATACATGCAGTCCTGTCTTCTATGGCAGCCTCTTCAGCCAGTTTATTGGTTTTCGCCTGTCGGTCTTTGAGTTTGTATGACATTAAACATAAATTGTCTTCGAAATCCGGATCTTCTAGAGTTTTCCTATCGGTCCAACGTATTCCTGTCTTCTCACTCTCCACAGTCTGATGAGTAATCCATTCCACGTAGAAGATTACTATTAATTCAAAATGTTAGTCGTATTAAACAGTGTTCATTTAAAATAAAATAAAAATATCACTCCCCTAATTATTTATTTTTATATTCTTTCTAGGTGGTTTAGTGACTAAAATTTTACAATCAAAAAAAGAATTTGAAGATGCAAATTTAATTAATAAAGAAAAATCAAAATTACAGGTGAAAATTATTTATTTATTTTCTTTACATTTATTTGATTGATGTTAACACTACTTACCTCGAATTTATGGAGGATATGATCTCCATTCAGTGGCTAAATTGTCAACACGCTTGCCTTGTAACCTGGTGGTCTTGGGTTTAAACCACAGTGTAGTTATGGATGAGCACTGATGAAAAGTCCTGAAGCAGGAAAAAGTTGTTCAGCGCTCCTTAGTTTCCAGTGCTTATCTAACCGATATGGGTTAATGATGAATTCTGCATTGAAATAGAACTCTTCTTTTTAAGTTAAGGAGTTACATCTGGAATAATTTAAAAAATGGATGCATTCACTTGATAATTTTAAAAAATTCGTGGTTTTCCATATGAATAAGATAGAAAAGTTGTCATTACAATGATTAATGCAGAAAAGTTGAATAAGCATCAACGTTATTTGATTTCTACTTTTTTGCCCACGAACTACGACAACTTTAACTGGCACGTTTTTTCTCAACGTTTTAATTTTATATCCCTATGTATACGTCTATTTTATTATTCACTACACATTTATTAAAAAACTGCTACATTTTTCCGAACAATTTGTATCTGTGTTCGGTGCTTTCGTCTTTATTTAACTACTCAGAAATTTACTCTATTTGAAACACCTATTCTATCTAGTAAGGTATTTCAAATCTGATGACATTCAGGCGGGTGATTTCCAAAAATCAAAAACATTCAGATCGCAATACATTATCTGGTAGTTATCGTAAATGACAGTCAAGGAAGCAAGCATAAATTTATGATGCTGTACACTACTGAATGATTGATATGAGTAGTTTGATGCTGCTCACATCAACCCGTAGTGTTTGCCAGCTAGATCGATGTGACCTAAACACTGGATGGTCATTTTATTCGTCCAAAGTCGAGCTCGCCAAACGTGTACCCCATTGACTCAGCTCAAAGAGCCGAGAGAGACGGAAGTTTTTGGTAGCCCAAGTTTTAAGCAGGCCGCCAACCTAGTGGAATAATAATAATGCGTTTTTATTGCTTTGTTCAAATTCATTAAGGGGGAACTTGTGTACACCAAGATTGTTAGTGTACTAGCTTGGTGATAGATAGAATTCAGTCATTATCACTGGAGATAAGGCATTATCATAATATATAATTTTCTTTTGTATGAACACAGATAAATATTGTTTTTGCTTTTGTCATTTTCTTAAAAAAAATATTTTTGTTTATTGAAATAATAGACAAAAGGATCAAATGAAATGGCTAAAGAATGTGAAAAAGCTCTGCTAGAGAAAGAAATTAATCGTTTGTGTAATTCACTTCAGTCATTATCACGTTCAGCTATTCCATTAAGTAAATTAATGGATTTTATACAAGAAGACTTAGAAACAATGCAACAAGAATTTGAACGCTGGAGAAATGAAAATAACTCACTTAAATCACAGTTAAAACAACAAGAAAGGTAAGTAGTGAGAAAAATATTATTATTTTTTCAATATTTACTCCTTGAGCTCCAAGTGAAACATGATGCTTCAGTGGAACACTTCCATTCCATTCAGTTCTCTGCTGTCAGTCTCAAGTGTTTCCATAACTGCCAACAAACAATCACTTTCCCTTCTCTCCTTTGTGTCACCCTCGGCGTCTAACTTTTCACTTTGCATTCGGATTCCATTGAATGACCTGTATGTAACGTGATTTCACTAGAATATCTCCTTAGTGTATGTCCACCCTTCTGCATATTTGTTGAGCAATGGGTTATTGCCTGGTTCGTTGCCACAGAAATTCCTTGTTGCTTATACTTTCCCTTCTGCCACCTGACCTTCACTATCAGACGAAGTCAGATGTTGATGAAAACTCGAAGTCGGCTGTTGAAGATTCTTTTGGTAACTTGTGAACCAAGTTTCTGAATCAATTAGAGGTACTGACTAAACTGACATTAGTGTTGAACAGAATTTGTATCTCGTTCTTTATGTGAAGTGTTGTAGATCCATACACTGATTTCCTGATCGGATCATGGAAGACTTTGACATCGTCATCAGTGTCACATGTAGTTTAAGCGTTGTTGCCCAGGTACTTGAAAAAGATGATTCCCATTAGATTTCTCCCACTGATTGTGATTAGTGCTTGTTGTTATTGTTGCTTTGTTTGATGTCTTCATCACTTCCTTCTTCTCTTTATTCACCTGAAGTTCTCATAGATATTGAAACTTCAAACTACAGAGAGAAATTGTTTCAAACAAGTTTATTTCTTTTTAACAATTAATGAAAATGATGTTGTTGACATTACATAGTACGGGAGAAATAACTAACGTGCATTTTGCATTGATATCAATGTCAATAAGAAAAGCAATGTAAAACTATAATTAAGTAGAAGTAGTGACAACAATATATTAATGACGGAGAGAACAGTAAGTTTGACCATGGATTGATATCAGTTAGAGAACCAATGAAAACCAGCAGTGGAGTACTGGACAGCTGTTTCATCTTAGTTTGGGACTCATCCTCAGTACTCACCCACTGAGTTTCGGACCGAGGACCTTCCAGTTACAAGGCAAGCTCGTATACCATTCAGCAATTGGAACCCAATTTAATGGCCCATGAATTCTAACTTCTACCGATTCATGGTTTTAACGCGACTGGCACCAACCAATATCATTAGTGCGACGCCCATCCTCACACTTGACTGGATGGACCTCACTGGTCACGACTTCTCACCAGAACTCCAGGAAACTCCGTCCTGTAGAGTAGAATGAGCCGTTTTGCTTAATGTTTTGTAGCAAATCAGAAGTTCCGTAGAATATGCGCCAAATAAGGTATTGGAGAGTTTTCATACTTAGTCACCTAAGCATAAAGTCTTTTATAATTGCTTCTAGTCCTACTATCTAAGATGCAAGAGAAGAGTTTTGTATAAAGAGGATACTCTGAGTCTGATAAGATGATATTCACAAATTTATTGCATAAGGTCAATTGTCTGTCCTCAACAGTTTTAACGATACCCCACTCGTCCTACTGACAGCTTTTAGAATCTTTTGTAATGTAAAAAAGGTCTTTCTTAAGTCTCCAAGGAAAGATTAAGGGGGATCAATAAAAAGTATGTAGGATACAAGATGTGTAAGTGTATAAAAAAAGGAGACAAGGAAAAAAAAATTACCTGTACTAATTTACAAGATGACAATAGTAAGGAAAGAAAGTGAAATTTGTACAATTAAATTTAGTCGAGTAATTTATAATCAGTACAGGATTATGTTACTGACAGGGATATAATCAAATTAACGAGGGGATTACAGACAAGAAGTGTATTTGGTGATTATCGTTTCTAGTGGAAAAGCATAAATATATGTGTACATGAAAGTGTCCATATGAAGTAAACAGCTGGATTTCATCCCGTGGATCAACAACAAAACTTAAAGTTTAGTGTTTTCTTTTACTGTCTATTTATATTGTAAGTATTAGTGATAAAAGATACCTGCTAATTACCTCGAGGTGTTATTTTAGCCGTAACATTTACGCTAATGAACTCATATTTGCACACAATTTATGCTATTTCTTTTAACTACAGAGATCTTTGATAGAAGTTAGTAAGGATATACTGTTGCATAAATAGTGCATTTTTTTCATACTTCATTCGCAAAGTAGAAATACTCATTTACCATTATTTTGTTTATTATTTGGATTACAGGATTTGTGAGAATTTAAATTGATTTAATTTCACTTGTTAGATTTACTTATGAACCGAATCCAGTTAGAGAGGTCAGTAAAAACCAAGGGGGGCACTGAACAACTGTTTCGTCCCAGTGCACACCCACAACACCACCAGGTGTCGAACCAGGTACCTTCACATCCCCAAAATCCTATAGTCTAAATATCAATCTTGAGCCCATTGGTGAATATCCTATAGGTGAAGGGAGAAGTCGTGACCAGTGGGGTCCACAATGTCTGGGTGAAGCGGATGCTTATCGAAGGTACTGGTGAAGCTTCACGAATTGTTTAAGTTAGAGTTCATGGGTCATTGAATTCCAACCCAACTAGCTGAATGATCAGAGGTCTTGGTCTTATAACTTGCAAGTCCTGGGGTTCTATCCCTGGTGGTGTCGTGGGTGTACATTGATGAAGAGTCTCGAAATAGGATAAAACTTCTATCCAGCACTCCTCAGTTTCACTGATCTCTTCAGCTGATGTCCGTTCGTGACAAAGTCTAAATTTTATTTATCACCCAAGTTTCATGGTGTTGTACACCTAATAATAAACTTAATATATACAATGACCTGCCTAAGTCATAGGACTGTCTAGATCTCTACACATCATAGTGCATCAACTTTTCTGTACTACTTACTATTTTACTCACATACTTCATGTGCTTGAATCACAGCATGTAATTATGCATATTTGTTATTAGTTTTCAACTTAATACTGTAGTCGGTTTATAATACACCTTAACAATGACGTTTATCGTAGCGTTACCATGTTTACATAGTGAAATAAGTAGTATATTACTCAGAGATTTGATGTTAAATTATGAATTAGTAAAAATTTTATGAGATATTTATTTGAATAGCTTAAGAGCTCTTGCTACTACGTTACGGTGAATGTTGCTTCACAATTAAACTTCATACCTCAAAGTTAGACACATAAAATCGCTTATTCATGATTTTGTGCTATTGCATCAGGAATTCTTCGTTTATACTCTCATTCAAATTGCGCACATTCATGGTACCATATCTTCATTCCTACTATTGTGTAATTCTCGAAGGAAATGAAGGAAAAGTATCGTCAGGCGTTGATTTACATTTCATATCAGATAGTGTTGCATCATATAATATTAGTTGGAAGATCCTGCACAAAGAGTAAGTATTTTGCAAAGAAAAATGCAATAAGAATTCTGTAATGTGTGTCAACACTGTCTAGAACAAACTTCTTATTATTATTATTATTTTAAATTTCCTTCACGTTCCCTAGTGGAACATAGGGCTTCAAGCTAGCGGTTTGAAGTTTCTGTAGCAGTGCTTATTTTACAGGATGGGGTTGCTAGCCTCATGCCCAACCTATCCTCTTCACCAGCGTTATTTCTGGGTTAGCGAGGTAAAGGAGTGCGTCGGCCGGGGATCGAACCCCGGACCATGTGCATGGTCAGCGAGCGTCCTAACCACTATTATTATTATTATTTGCACTAATTTATCTTGGTGTAATTTTTAGCATTTTATCTCATATGAATCGCTTTTAAAGAAGTCTGCCTATATCTATATTAACTGATATTTTTGTAATATTTCAGTTTAACACAATCATGTATAGAACCTCTGAAAGCGCAACTGGAAGAATTAGAACAATTTGAAAAGGAAAAAGAAAGAGCTATCGCTAAATGTAAAACTAAAATTCTCCACAATAACGAACGTATAGAAAATCTGTTGTTTAGATCGTTAGAAAAAGTTTTCTGATCATCTGTAACTTTAATTTCTGTTGATTTTTGATTGAGAAAATAAATATATTTAAATAAAATATATTCAGTAAAGAGATTCTTAAAGGCAAATATGTTTATTATTCCACCGCATAAAAGAATAAACATAAGCAACCACACACTGTGCGAAATTTTTGTGTTTCAAGACGCTTTTACAGTTCTACCGTTATATTGTTAAGCATTTTTATTTGGTTGTGTTCTGTGAGAGATGAGTGGGTGAATTGCAAAGCTTTCGTTACCCTGCTAGGCAACATCTTTCACGCAAAGTTCGACATGAAATGAACTTATTTGAATTTCACGAAAAATACCCATTTATTCATAAGTAAAAACACAGTTTTTGTTCAGCGAAGAAATTTCTTGAAAATGAAGTCGTTGAAAAGAAATTTCTTCGCTGAACAAAAACTGTGTTTTTACTTATTTGAATTTGTCATGTCTGATATAAGTGTTGAAAACAAGCAATAAAGCAGGTTAATAAAGCAGGATTTAATGAATTCACAAAACTCGTCAGCTGGATACTCTACATACACGGATATATATATGCTTTTGAAATTACACTGAGAGATATAAGACTGATAAGTAAACAAACTACATTGAATTAGTCATGCAGAAAGACAGGTGCGAATGTTTTCCAGGTTATGTTCAAATACATAAGGGGAGAGAGTATGAGAGATCAAAATTAAGATAAATTGCATTACGCTTCAATTACATCACTTAGATAAACAATTAGTCATTAAAGAATATAACAAGAATTGCAAACAGAGTAATATCAATAATAGTAATAGTTATAATAATAATAATAATAGTGTTGAAGTGAGTCAAGATAATCCTACTGATAAAGGATAGTTTTAAATGAATCAAGAATAATAATAATGATAATAATAAGAGGGGTAGAATAATAAGTAAAACGTATTACCATGGTAGATTCAGAGTCACGACCATCTCCTTTTGTACACAGAGACCTCGTTTATAAACTCGAATTCCAAAAGCCTCTGCAATTGCAAGCATCTTCTTGTTTCTTTGTCTGCTGACAACAGTGAATGACTTGACCGCGTCGATGTCATGTCCGTAGTCCACAAGATGTTTTGTTATCGAGGATTTTGGCACTTTGCACTCAGCTTTTTTCAACCATTCTGGCAAATGCTCCATCATGCGAGTAGATAATCGCCTTTCCGTACGACCTATGTATTTGCATCCACAAACACACTCTCTGAAATAAGTAATTGTATCTCCAGACAACCACTGCCATTATTGTTTGTTGATTTACATCTCTATTGTCCGTTTTTATTCACTTAGAATTCGGACATTTTTGTTCGTGTGGTGTATTCTTTATTAGTTGGTAAATTTGATCTATATCAGTGTGTCTGTTAATAGCTGTTTTATTTGAGTACCAGGCTTCCATAAATTCCGTGACATTTTTTTGTGATTCCACTATAATCTGAAATTTCCACATTTCCCCAATCAATTGTTTGTCCATAATTGTCTCCATGCTTTGATATGAAAGAATATATGTCGTATCATTTCATAGCTAGTCTATGTTCCTACATTCTCAATCGAAGAGGACGCCCATACTGATATATAGAGTGTTTATGACAGTCCAAGCAATTCATTTTGTAGATAGTATTGATCTTGTATTCTTTTAGTGTCAGATCTTTTCATTTGCCTAGAAGTGAATGAAGTGATTGTGTTGATGTGGACACTATATCTATTTCGAATGGTCTGAGTATTATAGCCTTTATTTCGGAAATATTTTTTATTTATGATAGGATGAATTTTCTTGTCGTTTTTGAGGATTATTTTCTCGCTGGTATTTTGATTTGACTTCAGATAGATTTTCGATGAAACTTAATGTAAATCAACAACCGATTATGATAAAGGTTGCTAGGAGATACATTTATATGATTTTCCATGGAGAATTTTAAAAATGCTCTTCATATTGATGTTTGCAATGAAAATGTTGTCTAGCAGGACAACGAAAGACTCGCAGTTCAACCACTCATATCAGAGAACACATTCATATAAAAGTCATCCATTTAGGCTACGAATCTCCTCTGTTGAAGTTAAGTATTTCCAACTGATCCAAAATGGATAATTTTCAAAAGCGGTTGTTTTAAAAGATAACAATAAATGGTGGTGTAAGAGTTATTTGTAATTGTTTTTCGTAATGGCCGAATCCGAAGTAAACCAAACAATAACAGAGAGGGCGGAATTTAGAAATTTCTTTTAGGCAGAATTGTTTTTAATTTAGATAATTAATATTAACAAACAACAGTTAGCATTTAAACAATACAGTGATAAAAATCGTCAATCAAAACATCCGCCACATGTCGAATATCTGCTTGCATTTTCACAATGAGGTCTTGGTTTATTTGAAAGTCTCTCCGCTCTTCTAACCGATTCTATCCTTTTATTTTCACTGGAATCATCTAGATTTATTTCTGAATTGTCTGCAAAATCAGGATTAGTAGCCGAATCATTAAAACTTCTCACGGGTATTTTTTATGTTGCACACTGAGATATTGAAGTAAGAAGTTATCTACATATCTCTCTAACTCGTCAAGATTCTTAGAAGCCGTTGATGCCGTGGCACTCTTTAATGTTTGTATGAAATTTGCTGCCAACCCGTTGGACTGAGGATGATGTGGTGCCGTGCACAGATGACGGCAACCTATATCATTAAGCCAGTCGTTGAAGTTCTCGGTGAAATGAGTACCATAACCATTATCAGTAACTAAGATATCCTGGATTTCTCAGCTAAAACTCTTTCTCAAAGCTCTGTGTGTGAACTTTACGTTGCGACTATCTGTAATTAGGACTTCTGGCCATCTAGAATAAGAATTCACAGTAACTAAGGTATGGTATGAATTTAAAGAATGGACCACAGTAATCCGCATGAATACGCTGCCAAATTTCACAGGACGCAGGCCATGGTTTCCACAATAACTTTTCACAGGATATTTTATGCAAACAGCTGGAACGCCTCTTTGGTCTTCTGCTAATGTCAGCATCAATTTCCGGCCACCAGCGCGTTAGGCGTGCTAATGATTTCATCTAATCAGCTCCCAGATGAGAAGAATGAAAATCATCCAAAATCGCAGATCTTAATGTAGGAGGAATAATAATCCTGTCATTCAGACACAAAAATCCTTCAGGATGGACTGAAATCTCATCTGTTCGCTTATGAAAGTTCTGAAATCTCCGCTTACACTGAATATTCCAACCTCTGTTTGCTGCATTTATAGTGCTCTCGTAATATTTCCGAGTATTGTGTATAAGTCGAACTCTATCCACAGATAACGGCTGGACTAACAAACAGTCAGTGTCATTCGGAGAATTTTCGAATAATGACTAACGACATAAGAAGTCTGCAGGAGGTATATCCTAGTCGATCTGTGTTCAGTGGTGTAATAATTTGCACTTAGTTCTAAATTCCATCTTTTAATCATAGCAGCATGTAATCTATTCAAAGATTTTTCTGGATTGCAAATGAATTTTAAAGCCTGATGATCAGTAGCTATGTGAAACTTATTATCAAAGAGATACTTCTGTAGGCGTCTTATTGCCCATACAACTGCTAGAGCCTCTTTCTGGGTTTGTCAGTACCCTTGTTCACTCTTACTTAGCCATCGTGAAATACGAATAACACGTTGTCCATTTCGCTTAAGTACTGCAGTTATACCCATAGGAGAAGTATCTATAGTGAGAACAGACTTATCTTTCGACGAAAAAGGTCTTAAGAAAGCTTGTTTATTAAGAAACTGCAAAGTTTTTCACAAGATATTATCATGTTGTTGTTCCCACTTAAATTGTTCACTGGAGACAATATCAAAAGCGGAGATAACAGTTGATTGAAATTAGGGATGAATCTAGAGTAAAACTGAAGAGTATCAATCTGTAGTGGCCGAAAAATAGTAAAATTAAGGAATTCAAAGAAAATCGTGGTTGTTACGTGAGATTGAACAAAGACACAACCTTGTACCGCGCACAACACAGACTAAGCTTCTTACCTCTCTCCAGCTTCTCGCTTATCACATCTGCCAACTAACTCTGCCTCGCATTGATGGACACATCCACATTAGGATACTTCGCTCCAATCTACTTTTTCTCTACACAAGTGCTCTCTGGCAAGTGGCATCTCTAATGTGTTTTTGAGGATCTGCATACTCAAGAAAAGGACAATGTCATTCTTATGGTTTTGTACGTCTGTATTTTGAGTATTTTGGGATTATTTTAGTTTTTCAAATAACTCCCTTTTTTGTATTTAACTTAAGTGGATTGAATACCTTATAAATATACATACATGTTAGTATCTGTTCTGTCCTTTTTAATTGCGCGTCCAACCATCTTAGTCGTTTAGTCCACTACAAATCCATGATCTCAACGATGACATGTTATTATGTGAAGGTGCTTGAATTAGATGTGACAAACGACTGGCATCAGGTCTAAAACCCTTGGAGTTTACTGTGTATCCTAAGCATGGTACAGGCAACAAAGTAAAATGACATTTAGACGGATTAATAAGAATATTTGTCTAACGGAAACGACTGAGCAGTTTTTAAAGACGTTCACTATGCAATTCGATGTTTGGTCCATGAACCATAATATCGTCTTGGTAAGACTGAACACCGTCTATCATCTGATTTATTGCTTTTTGAAATGTTGCAAGTGAAAGCTTCAAACAATCCAAATGGAGTATAAGTGTACTAGAAGCTTTATCAGGAGGAATCTGCAAATAAGCACCTTTGAGATCTATTTTGGAAAAGTATTTTGAGCCACATATATTGTAAAAACTGTCTTCAATTTCTGGTGTAGTGCAGCTTTACTTCAGCAAGCCACTATTGAGTGTAAGGCAGCAGTCACCAAAAATCCTCGGTGTTTTCCCATTCGCCTTTATTGGCGTCACAACATGAGTTGCCCAATCAGAAGATTTATAGTACCCCTATATTAAGCCCAACTGCACGCTTATAAAACTAATTGATGTGCACATGTTGTACGCTTACAGAAACTAATTTTACATATGC